GCCCGGAGTGACTTGACCCGGAGCCAAAAGATGGTGTACCTCCTGGCCTCACTGGAGGGGGAGGCCCTGGGCGTCGTCGGCCACTTGAGATTGTCGGGCGACGCCTACCAGACTGCTCGGGACCTCCTAGCCAGAAGATACGCCAACGTCCGGCGAATTGCGGACGAACATGTTAAGCAGCTTCTAAGCCTCCCGCTGCTTAGTGACCGGGCCAGACTGCGTCCGGACCTGTTGGATCCAGTCTTGGTGGCCTGTAATACATTGAGGCGGCTGGGTTTACCAGTGGGCGAATGGGCTTTTTTGTTGCTCCGCATCGTGCTCTCCCGTCTACCTCTCGACCTTCGAATCCATTTTGAGGAGAGGTACGGCGGGGACGAGGCCTCCTACATTCCGCCCTTCTATGACCTGCTGCGGTTTTTGGAGGAGCAGTGCCGGCAGATAGAGAGCGCGGCGGGCACCGTTGACGACTTACGAGCCGTGCCCAGTGAGAGGCTGAATCCTCCAGGCAAGTCGTCGTCAACCCCCCCCCCCTGCTCCTATTGTCGAGCATCTGATCATCGGGTAACGTCGTGCCCGAAATTATTAGGTAAGCCGGTTCCAGCGAGGCGAACTATCGCCAAGGAGCGCCGCTGGTGCTGCTTATGTTTGGGAGGACACCTCCAGCGAGACTGTCCGCATTGGCGGCACTGTCTGCATTGCCAGGGCAATCATCATGCCGTTTTGTGCCTGAGTGCGAACGGCGTCTCCTCTCAGGGCTCTGCCAGGCCCTCGACCCCCACGGGCGGGGGCGCTCAGCCACGCCCTCTGCCGGGCGACAATCGGCGCCCGCCGGCCAGCCACCAGGCCCCTAAGTTTGAAAGGGGTCCCTCCCCCGACCAGTCGGGGGGTAATTCCCCCAGGGGCGGGGGTGTCATCAACCCCCCTAAGCGGGTGGAGAGGAACTTCACGGCCACTCATCGGTCCGCTGGACCCTTCTCACTCCCGTTAGCTGAGTGGTCGCGACTGGTGTACCACTGTTCCCCATTTGATGGAGGCGGCCCTGGCTAGCTGCCGCCTTAGCTCCCACCACGGCCACCTCCACTGAGCCTTAAGCCGTCAATAGTCCACTTGTCAAAATGTTCTGTTGCCGACGGCATCAGTGAAGGCGTACAACCCGAGTGGCAACTGTTAGCGATCTCGGGTTCACGCCATGTGGCCTCCCCTTGGTGGTGGGAAGATTAGGGCCCCTCTGGAGCGTTGAATCACGCTGTCAAGGGGTATTAGATTTGGTTTGGTCGAGCACTTAGTAAAAAAATACTTGAACTAAAATTAAAAATTGCTTTGGGCTTTCCGCGAAATTTTCCTATTTGTAGCGGTTTAAATTAAAAGAATTGAATGTAATCTACTCTTTTAAATGCTACTACATGTGTTTTGTACATATATTTAATCACTGTATTTGATTGTTGTGTCTGTTTGCTGAAAGGAAAATTTGAATTCATCTGAAATTGAATGGCGCACTATTTGAAAAATTATGTTTATGTTTATGATAGTGTTTAATTATTTTGCTTTGCGAAGAAGTAGGGCTGTCCCTTACGTTATTGTTTTGTTTAATTTGCAAGTTGACCTATGCGCATCGGTGATTAATTTGGTTGAATTAATTCTGTAGTTTAACATTGATGCTTTTGAAAAATTAGTTGAAATATGAGCATAGGACTACTTGCATAACAGGCTAGCTAGTTTTGGAGATTATCAGATTGAAATCAGCTGCCGCACTATTTTAGTAAATGATAAAATGGTGGGTGGCCTGGCTAGGCCTACTTGTTAAAAATTCATACTAGGGACTATCTGTGCGTTTCGTTTGGCTCTCCACAGACGACGTTCATGTGGAATTTGTGGGTGCGCTCTGCACTGAAGCAACTGCTGGCACAAAATTTGTCTGGGCAGCTTCGTGTAGCGTCGCTGTTTGCAGAGCTGATCCGGTCGGATTGCGGAACTAATCATAGGGGCACAGATAGGTGTTTGAAAGAGGTCGTCGGACTTCTGTCCAGTACAGGACTTATTAAAGTGCTGCGATGCCCAGGAGGGGCATCCAGTGGAGGCTGACCCTCCAGCTTGCCACATTAGGGATATCTTTTGAGGCGTTGATTAGGGTTGCAAGACCTAATGGATTGCCTAAGGTGGCCTAGTTTGGTTGTAGATTCGGTCTTGCAACTTGCAGTTTCGACCTTGTCCCGCTGACCGGTTTGCTCGCGGACCTAAATCCTTATGTCCGGGACGGGGGTTTGTTCGCGCAAAACGCTGTTGTCGGAATCGACACCAGATGTCACTCGGCTCGGCGCGATTCCGGTCTGAAGTTCTTCCGAGCGTGGCAGTGGCGCGGGTTAAGAGTGATGACCCCTCTAATATCTGCTTTACAAGCACTCCTAATAAGTAGGCCGTGCGTCACCGTACGGATCGCTTAGTAAGATGTAAATTTATATAAATACTAGAATAATTGATTGTTAGATTGATATTGGTTTTGGAAGTAATTATAAGTTGTAACGCTGTTACTTTATATAAATAAATTATATTTTTTAGTAAAGTCGTTGTTGTTAACTTAATTGGCGCAGCCGGTAGGATATTGGTAGTTGTTTAGGAGAATCTGTATCGTCGGTTATAATCATCGTGATCCAGTATCGGTATCCTGACAACGTGCGTTTCAACGCTTTGACGAATATCACCGAACAAACAAATAAATTAAGAACTTCGCGACTCCAGCAGAAACAGCCGAGACTCCAGAACCAGCAATATCCCAGAGGGACATGGGCAGACCTGCGAGACTGTGAGTAAAACTCTTCACTTCCCGTAACTTTCCTTTTGTTCCCTCTTGTACTAGTTATACGTAGGTATTGTCTTGGATTAGAAAACGCCATAACAATACTCTTCTACTAAGCAATCTAAATTTTATTAGTAGATCTTAGTTAAATCAATTTTATTTGGGTATATTTTTTTTATTTGTGTGTGTGATAGTTATTTTATTTTTAAAATGGAAAACATTGAAAGAATCCCCGTAGAGATGACAAAAATTATCCCACTTTTTGATGGAGACGCTAGACTACTACCTTTATTCATAAAAAAATGTGAATATATTTTACAAAGATTCCAAGGTAGTAATTTACAAAATGAATATTTATTTCATGTCATTACTAGTCGCTTGACAGGGGAAGCCGCTAATTTAGTGGGAGAAAGGGAACAGATAGACTCTTGGGCAGACCTCAAGTCGTTGCTAAACCAACACTTTGGCGATCCAAGGTCCGAAGAATGCTTAGCTATGGAGTTAGAAAGTCTAAGAAAATATAGAAACGAAAGTTATCAAGAATTTTGTCACCGGGTACAACATTTAAAAAGCATTTTGTTTTCTAAAATAAACGAAACTATTAATAACCGAGACTTACGACTAGCTAAACAAACTATATACGACAACGCGGCATTGAATGTTTTCTTATACAATTTACCTGCTTATTTAGTGAGATTAGTGAGACTACGTAATGTTACTACCTTAGAAGATGCATTAAAAATCGTCTTAGAGGAACAGAACTTCCAAACAGTCTATGATAATAGGAACCAAAGGTCTAATCAAAATTTTAGACAAAACCATTTCCAAAATCATCCTAACTTTAACCGTAATAATAATTATAAAGGCCCAAGTTTTCAATCTCAAACAAACGGTCATCCATCGTATAACCAAAATAATTCATTTAATTCAAATAATATTTCTCCTCACTTCGGGAATAATCATACAATGAACAATAGAAATAACTTAATTACGAACTCTGCAACTAGGTCGCCAGTACGACCGTCATCGGCGCAACACCGTCAGCATTTTTCGCGAAACGCAACGAATAATATGCAATATCAAGCGCCACATGTGTCGTCGAACTCAAGTACTGACGTCACAATGAGGACAGCTAGTTCAAGACGCGTAAATTATACAGACACTGAAAATAATATTCAACCTAGTACCTCGCAAAACCAAGGTGATTTTAACGCTTATTCGGCCGATAGGGAATATGAACAGATAGGAAATTTTTTTATAACAGCCTCAACAATACGGAAAAAATAGAGATTAATTATACAAAAATTTTAAATTTGCCTCATATACGTATACCAGAATTGAATGCAGTTTTCATGTTAGACACGGGGAGGACAAGATCGTTTATCAGCCCGGAGGTAGCAAATTATTATTATAAAAGTTTTAAGCTATTCGAGCCTTTCGAAGTCATCAGCACTCATGCGTCAAGTAGACATGAGGAAGTTGTTTATATTACCTTGCCTAGCATTTTTAAAACTCAAATAAAACATAAATTTTACGTTTATAGTGTGGACGAAAGATATGATGGCTTAATAGGAAGCGAATTATTAAAAGTTTTAGATGCTTCTATCGATATGAAAAATTTAACTCTATTTACAAAAAATGCTAAAATTCCTATAATTTATTCACCACCGATAAAAAAACGTATATGTTGCCGCCAAGATGTGAACTTAGAGTTTCATTACCAGTAAACCTAAGTAAAGGAGAAGCAATTTTGAATCACGTACAATTTAGCGAAGGTGTTAGAATGCCGACAGCTTTGGTTAAGTGTGAAAATAGTCTCGCCACCACAGTAATACAAAATTGTACTGACGTAGAACAAAAACTGGTAGTTACGTCACCTTTTAAAGTGGAACCATTTGAAATAGCAACATTATTAAAGAAAAACAATGAAACAAATTTAAATTTTGCAAATCACCGAGATGTAAACGAACTACTTCATGAAAATTTAAAAAAGTTGAGGTTAGATCATATGAATGAAGAGGAGAAAAATATGATAGAAAAATTATGTAGAGAATATAAAGATATCTTCTACTGCGAACATTTACCCTTAACATTTACTAATGAAGTAAAACACGAGATAAGGACTAAAAACGAGGATCCAATCAATATTAAAGCTCACCGTCTACCACCAGTCCAAACGGAAGAAATAAAAAGACAGGTAGAAAAAATGTTAAAAGATAACATTATTCAGGAATCTCACTCTCCTTGGAGTGCACCGGTTCATCTAGTACCAAAAAAATTAGACGCATCGGGTATCAAAAAATGGAGAATGGTCATCGATTATCGAAAAATAAAGGACATTACGACTGATGATAAATATCCTTTGCCCAACATTAACGATCTATTCGACATGTTAGGTAAAAGTACATATTTTACAACACTGGACTTAGCATCAGGCTATCACCAGATAGAAGTCAGAGAAGAAGATAGATCAAAGACCGCATTTAGTACACCTTTCGGTCACTATGAGTTTAATAGAATGCCTTTTGGAATGAAGACAGCTCCTGCTACGTTTCAAAGAGCAATGGACAACGTGCTGAGAGGACTACAAGGAATACATTGTTTAGTTTATTTGGACGATGTCATTATTTTCTCAAAAAGCTTACCTGAACACATAGAAAAACTTAAAGCCGTTTTTGAATGATTTAGAAGAACAAACCTCAAAGTACAGCTGGATAAGTCACATTTTTTAAGAAAAGAGGTGTTGTACTTAGGTCATACAATAACTAATGAGGGCCTCAAGCCCAATACAGATAAAATAGATGCTGTACTTAAGTACCCTCTTCCAAAACAGTGACAGAAATCAAAAGTTTTTTAGGATTAGTCGGTTACTATCGCAAATTCATCAACGACTTTGCGAAAATAACAAGACCTCTTACAGCTTGTTTAAAAAAGGGTAATAAGATAATTTTGAGCGAAGAATATAAGGAAAGTTTTGAAATCTGTAAAAAACTTTTAACAAATGCTCCATTATTACAATTCCCAGATTTTGAAAAACCTTTTATATTAACAACCGATGCATCCAATTATGCTATTGGAGCGGTTCTATCACAGGGCACTATTGGAAACGATAAACCAATAGCTTACGCAAGTAGGACATTAAGTGACACAGAAACTAGATATAGTACTATAGAAAAAGAGCTCTTAGCGGTAGTTTGGGCGGTAAAACATTTCAGACCCTATTTATACGGAAAAAAATTTACTATTTATACGGGCCACAGGCCTCTAGCCTGGCTATACTCTCTTAAAGAACCCAACAGTAAGTTAACCCGTTGGCGACTTAGATTGGAAGAATACGATTTTGAAATTAAATATAAAAAAGGACAGCAAAACACAAACGCAGATGCCCTGTCAAGAATAAGATTAAACGCATTAGATAGTGATCTCGACTCAACTTTAGCTAATATAGACGATGAAGATGAACGTATAAAACAAATAGTCAAAGAATTAAACGATGAATTTGTAACAATTAGAAAAAAGAAACCTAAAACACCATCAGTTATATCAAATTACGACACAGAAAGTGAAAGATCCATAGTTGTTTCTGATATCGAAGTTGAGCCACCAATGGAGCTGATGGAAATATCAGATGATGGTGTCACAGCTGACTCAATATCAAACAGGGAACATGAAGGGATTCCTATCCTGAATGAAGCTATAGACACAAAACCACGTCAAATTTTAGTCTCCACATGGTTTACTGATAAAATATCTGTTAAAGATATTTCAAATAAGAAGCAACGTATACTAGAAGTTCACATGCCTCTAAATAATGAGAGACTTGTCAAACAGTTTCTTAAAGAATATATTGATTTTAAACATAAATATTATATCTATTTCGAAAACGCGGAATTCAGGAAATCTTTTAGTAGAGTAGTAATCGAATTATACAAAAAAGGAACTTATAATTTGATCGAATGTACAGACAGAATAGTTAATCTAACCGATTCAGAACAAGACCAAAGACGAGTAGTTGTAGCGTACCACGAAGGAAAAACGTGTCATAGAGGTATCAACGAGACCTTAGCAAAAATCAAAAGACACTACTGGTGGGCAAATATGAAAGAAACTATAACAGCCATTATTAATTCATGCGAGCCGTGTCGAAAAATGAAATACGAAAGAAAACCCATAAAACCTCTTATCCAACTAACACAAAATCAATACAGCCCATTCCAAGAAGTCTTCATGGATCTTTTATTTATAGAAAAACAGTATTACCTTACTGTGGTTGATGCTTTCAGTAAGCTTGGACAGGCTATAAACATTCCCAATAGAAGTACACCAGAAGTAGTCAGAGCATTAATAAAATATTTCAGTATGTACGGAATTCCACGCAAAATAAACAGCGATTCCGGAGCTGAATTTAATAATGAACTAATTAAAGAACTTTTAAACCTGTACAAAATAGAACTTCATATTAGCACACCAAATAATCCTAGTTCAATGGCCATAGTGGAAAGATTCCACTTCACAGTAATCGAAATATATAGGTTGGCAAAGTATGATAAAAGTGATCTCGATGCATGTTCAGTAATGACATACGCTATAATGGCATACAATAATAGTATCCATTCAGCAACGGAATTCACGCCTTTTGAAATAGTTTTCGGTAATACTGACAGCGGTAATATTTTTGATATTAATAGGGAACACAACCTAATGCAAAAGCTATTGCAAGATCACAGAAAACGCCTAAAAGTACTCTACGAATATGTTGGGGAAAAACTAAAAGATAATAAAGCCAAAGTTAGGGACAAGAAAGGAGGTGAAGAAATACCAAAAATCAAAGAAGGTGATACAGTATTTATGAAAACAACTCGGACAAGGAAAGCTAAGGAATCACCACGTTATGAAAAAGCAAAAGTAATAGGTGAAACAAATCGTAACATTGTTCCAGTAGAGTTAAATAAAAGAAAAACTAGAGTAGCTGCTAAAAATATAAAACGTCCTCCACAGGTCGTGGCTGGTACTTCTGGCACTTGTGAACCAGATCCACAGTCTGGAACTTCAAAATCTGGAGCGGAACCCGGGAATAACCCTGCTGAAATATGGAACAGCAGTGATGAGGAGTAGTTATTGGACAGTTTACAAAACAGTAGAGATAAACGCATTAGGAATACAAATAAATAATAATATAAATATATACAACAAAATTAATACAATTATAACAGAAAATAGCCTAGAAAAAGAATTATTAGTTATACAAAAACAAATAGACTGATTAGTTAAATTAGTTCAGGACAAATACGATCAAATAAGTCCTATCCACAAAAGAAAAAGAGCCATTATGAGTCCTTTGGGGTCCATAATAAAAATTATATCAGGTAATTTAGATGAAGAAGATGCCATCAAATTCAACGAAGAAATCGCAAATTTAAGAGTTAAAGAAAACTTAGCAGAACGTAAAGTATCGTCAATGCAAAAAGCGTTTAATGCGTTAACCAATGTATCTGAGGTTATCAAGTAACGTTGAAAACTTGCACTTTAAGTTTAAACAAGTTGACAAACTAGAGTCAAAAACTGACAATGTCATTCGTACAATGAATAGCCTTTATCAAATTCTTAATAACTTTCGTTACATTTATGAAAATATCCAGGAAATTGAAACAGCCATAGCATTCAGTAAATTACGCACCCTACATCAATCTATCATTAATTCTACAGAATTACTAAACATTTTTAAAACTATAGAACAAAATGCACAAACTATTTACCCAGTAACAAGAAATAACTTATTAAAATTAGAACGTAACATTATCCTAAAATGTTATATAGATAAAGATAAACTAGTTTTTATTTTAGAAATACCATTAATAGAAAAAGAAACGTATAACTATTACAAGATTATTCCCATCCCTATAAAAAAATTAACCAGCACCTATACTATAATTCCTAAATATCCCTACCTATTAGTGAATGGTTTGCAATACAGAAACGTAGTAAATCCGTGTACCCAGATAGAGTCGAACAAACACTTATGTTCGGAGGAAAATATACACCAGTTGAGGAAGAAACATGCATTGAGGAAATAATGCTGATTAAAAACAACTTCAGTCATTGCCAGCAACATGAAATAAAAATAGAAAAGCTGAAAATACAGAAAATAACTTTTGACCACTGGATACTATATGCAGAAGACAATGTTATACTGACGGAGCAGTGCAAAGATAATACCCACAGAATTAATCTACAGGGGACATACATCTTGACGCCGAGCAAAGGTTGCAGCATACAGATAGGAAAAATAATAATTGGCCTATCGAGTAATATGTCAGATGCCAGTCTGCAGATACCACTTTTGAAGATTCCGGAGGTGCAGTACGACATGCCGAAAGAAAAAAAGAGTTTGGATTTAACAAACGTGGACTTTAGTGACGTTAAAGAAATCATGAATAGTGCTAGAAATAGTGAAATGGTGGTAGAAACTTTAGTGACTAGTAAAATAAGTATATGGACTTTAAGTCTTTATGTTGTAATTCTGTTAATTATAATTTTTATTGTATTTAAATGGAAATCTAATAGTTTACGTCAGAGACAAAATTATCCGAAGTCAACTCCGTTTCCTTCGAATAATTTTTCTCTTGGGGAGGGAGAGGTTAAGAGTGATGACCCCTCTAATATCTGCTTTACAAGCACTCCTAATAAGTAGGCCGTGCGTCACCGTACGGATCGCTTAGTAAGATGTAAATTTATATAAATACTAGAATAATTGATTGTTAGATTGATATTGGTTTTGGAAGTAATTATAAGTTGTAACGCTGTTACTTTATATAAATAAATTATATTTTTTAGTAAAGTCGTTGTTGTTAACTTAATTCGCGCGGGTCGCAAGGCAGTCAATCGTCTGTAATCGGTGCTGACGTGAGCACGCGGTCCATTCTGTTAGGGAACTCGGAATAATTAGGTGCGGCCCGTAAATATACGGTCTAGGATTTGTGACGCGCATTCCTGCTGGAGAGCTTCCCGGGACCGACTCAGAATCTGTATAAGTGCATTCGACAATATTAGCTAGTGCGGCCTCTGATATTCTAGAAATAACTGTTGCAACGAGAAACGGTAGTGACCTTTAATAAACTGTAAACTCCGTGTGCGTTTTGTGTGTTAACCTTATAACCCGCGATAGTTAGTGGCTTCTGTAAGTTAGTAAATCGTACGATAGAGTTAATTGACTGTTATCGTGACGAACAAGGAAAGTGAATGTGGACAAAGCCTCGGAAGGCCCCCTCAAGTTGGAGCGGTGTCGACGCCCGGGCTGCTGCCGACGGCTAAGGTCTAGGTTCAATCACCATCAGTCACACCCAGATACACACCACATCACCATTCTTTCCCTTGCACTACACAACCACATGCGACCTGACCGACTCCGGAGGGACCAGTCACCTTGGATATAGGTAAGTAAGCTTCGTCCATATTCCTTCCGGTCGACTGGCCGTAGTATAACGCTCTCCCATATATTTTAGTGTAATTCGAGAGATTCCACGTGGCCACATTGAGGCTCGACCTACGTCTGCTCGGGAAGTCTTCAGCTCATGGGCCCCTGAGGATCTGACCCTTTAAGGGAGCAGCCGTAGGCCGTAACAGTAATAATAATTTAAATTTGACATATAATTGTAATGATAATAATCATAAATTTCTGTAATT